TTTTATTTTATTTTTTAACCAGATGAGGTGTTATGGTTTGAATTGTGTCTCCCTCAAAATGTATTGTAAATCCTAACCCCTCTATGGCTGCTAACCAAAAGGTTGGCAGTTCGAATCTACCAGGTGCTCCTTGGAAACTGTACGGGACAGTTCTACTCTGTCCTACAGCATCGCTATGAGTTGGAATTGACTCAATGGCAATGGGTATACCTGTGGTTATAATCCCATTTGGGAATGGGTTTTCTTTGCTATGTTAATAAGACAATATTAGTGTAGGGTGTGTTGTCAGTCAGTCTCTTTGAGATATAAAAGAGATTAAACAAGCACACTAGCAAGCAGAGATGGGGAAAGAGAGATGCTAAGCCACATGAAGATCACCCAGGAGCAGAAGCTCAGAAGAGACAAGGATCTTCCTCCAGAGCCTACAGAAGAAGCCTTTCCCTGGAGCCAACACCCTGAATTCAGACTTCTAGCCTCCTAAACTGTGAGATGGGCTCAGACATAGCAATGATTGTGAGGATGGCGCAGGGCTGAGCAGGGTTTCGTTCTATTGTACGTAGGATCACTATGGGTTGGAACCGACTTGATGACACCTAGCAACAACAACAAACTATAAGAATATAAATTTCTGTTAAAGCATTTAACTTGGGGCATTTCTGTTATAGCAGCACTAGATAACTAAGACATGGATTGAGTCCAAAAGTTATTCCTGATGGGTCTGAATCCTCAGTGGTCTTGTCTTTGTTTTTTAGTTTCTGTAGTTTTCTATTAAATTTTACCTAGAGACATGAAAGTACGAAGAGGTGTCCCACAGAATCCTCTGAATTCCAGACATGGTCCTCTCTGCTATCATTGTGTAGCAGCACAGAAGTTCCTCCTTGATAATAGGAGCCAAACATCCCAGCCAGTTCAGTGCTCTCTTCTTTGCCTGCTGGTTCAGCGAACTAGCAGCCGAAAATGGCCAGAGGGCTATCTCAGCTTCCAATCCAATAGAATCATTATGTTCCCTGAAGGAAGCTACTCCTTGGGAATCAAAACTTCCAAACCAGCAGAAACGAAGTTGCAGAGATGAGAAGCAAATATTGTGCATTCAGTTTGTAATAGTGAGAGGACTGTCCAACTTCCACCCATTAATTCCCTATCCTGTGTATTCTGGCTGAGAGAAGATCACCATATACTGGCCATTTCATTTGAAGCTTATCAATTTTTCAGATCTCCAAACTGGCAACACAACTGAGTCTTCTGCAGCTCATTCCACCAGTCTCTCAGGCTGATGAAATATGCCAGATGGGATATGTTGGGCAGAATACCATGCAAGTGAATATTCTGAGTCCACAGTATTGGCAGAATAGCATTACAGGCAGGGAAGGCAAATCCATGTCCAGAATAGATGTCTATTCCAGTGAGGGCAAGTTGTGCCCCTTTATGATGGAAAGGGTCCAGAATAATTGTTATGGATTGAATTGTGTCCCCCCAAAATATATGTTGAAGTTCTAACCCTCAGTAGTTACGAACACGACCTTCTTTGGAAATCAGGTCTTTGAAGATGTTAGCAGTTAACATAAGGTCATATGAGAGTACCAAACCAAACCCACTGCCATCAAGTCGATTCCAACTCATAGCTACCCTATAGGACAGAGTAGAACTGCTCCATAGGGTTTCCAAGGAGCGGCTGGTGGATATGAACTGCTGACCTTTTGGTTAGCAGCCAAGCTCTTAACCACTGCATCCCCCAGGCTCCAAATGAGAGTAGCGTGGGTCCTAATCCAATTATGTTTGTTTTGTGCCATTGAGTTGATTCTGACTCATAGTGACCCCATGTTTCAGAGTAGAACTGCTCCATAGGGCAGTTGGAGTGTTTCGGTCCCCTAGGCTATAGGGTCACTATGAGTCAGAATTGACTCAACAGTCATGGGTTAATCTTTACAGGAGTGGAGTGTCAGGTCTTTTCTCAGAGCCACTGGTGGCTTCAAACCATCGACCTCTTAGCAGCCAAGCGCTTGACCATTGTGCCACCAGGGCTCCTTACTCTGGTGTAACCTCACATTACAGTAACTGATAGCATCATCAAAGACTCAATTTCCAAACAAGGTTACATTCACAGGTACCAGGGGTTAGGGCTTCAACACTTCTCTCTTGGAGAAAGTAATTCAATCCATATACCAAGTGTTTTGAATGGCTCCTGGCTCCTTCCCCTTTCTTTCTCCCTTCTTTCTTTTCTTTCAGCAGTGATTTGTTACTCTAGCAAATCCTAAGAACACAGAGAGGAGTAAGACAAGAGGATAAGAAGAACATGTTCACGCCTTCAGGGACTTCACAGTCCATAGGGGAGACAGATATATAAACAAATAATTCCATAGACTTATTGAACAGGAGCTGTTTAAAAATGCTTTTAAAATGACTTTAGGGAGAAGCCTATCTTTCTCCAAGTTTCTATCTCTAGCTATAAAATAGTAACTGCTATTAACTGCTTAACTCTTAACTGCTGCCAACTAGTCGACCCTCTTGGACAGGTTTGGGAGGAAAGTTGTGCCTCTTCTACCTCACACTCATTTCCCCATGACGCAAGATGACCTGTCTCTGACTTGTCTAAAATGGTAAGAAGACCATGGTTGGCGTTGGCTCTGGCTCTCTCCTAAACCTGCCTTCTGCTGAGCCTGGGCAGGTCTAATGCCCACATGCTGTCTTGCCTCTGGCTCCTGCCCTCTGCATTTGCAGGGTATGAGGCAGTCTGAGACCCTCCAGGTAGTCACCTGCAGACCCAGTCTTTCTTAGGTGCAGACTGTAAGGGCCAGGCTGGGGTTATGGTGGGCTGGTGGGCAACGGTGGGGGAGGTAGGAAGCCCCCCTTGGCTGTGTATCCAAGCCGCCTCCTCAGATCCAGTGAAAAAGCAGATACTGTATTTTAATTCCCAGTGGCCTGTGTTTGTATCTGAATTGGCTCAACAGTTAAAAGGGAGAGGGGTGTCCTTAACAGCCCCAGACCTCTGATGCCAAAAGATGTATATGCTTTGTTGAAAGAAAGACCAATAATCCAGCAGTGTATTGATTCTTCGCCCTCACACGCGTTCTCAGGTTAAGTACTGTTAACATTGTGGTACAGGTTCTTCCAGATCTTTTTCTATCAGTGACACAGCTGGATTTCACTGGGTCCAGAGCAGAGGAGAGAAACCCAAAACCTGTGGGAACCGACTAGAGGGAGGGCAGCAATAACTACGAATTATGCAAACACTCAAATGTCCTCCTGCTCGTTGTTGATAAGCCCCCGTTGTTATTCAGCAGGATGGAAACCTCACGTGCCCTGTGTGGGAAAGCTGCTACAATGAAGCTAAAAAGTAGAGAAATAGTATTTTAAGCGTTGCTTGTTTATATCACAGCATTTAGAATATTGGGAATAATTAGAAAAATGGGAATTGAAAATGAGGAACAAGAAATGAGAGATGAAGTGGACGGTTTCAGAAGAACAGATGGAGGGCCTTAGAATGTAGCCTTGAGAGAGACAAAGAGCAGGGCAGCTGAGCCCAGTGCACCAGGCCTGGGATATGATTCCTGCACCTAGGAGTAGGGCTCTAGGGAGGGAGGTGAACACACAGGTGTATGTGTGGAGGGGGGCGTAGGGGGTGATTAAGATTAGACAAACCTCTGAGTGTGTGTGTTTTTTTAGAAAATCAGAGAGACCTTAAAAAAAAAAAAACCCGTTGCCATCTAGTCTATTCCTACTCATAGCAACCCTATAGGACAGAGTAGAACTGCCCCACAGGGTTTTCAAGGCTGTAATCTTTACAGAAAGACTACCATGTCTCTCTTCTGCTGATGGGTTCAAACTGCCCACCTTTTGGTTAGCAGCTGAGTGCTTTAACCACTGTGCCACCAGGGTTCCTATCAGAAAGACCTAGTGGGTTTTAATCCCAGGGCTGTTGATATTAGCTAGCTAGCCTTGCAAAAATTAATCATACTCCCATCTGTGAAATGAGGATAATAATAAAACCCGCTTTGTAGGCCTGTTGCAAGGGTTGGCAGTGATAAAGGTAAAATAGCTTAGCCCAGCTTGGGCCTGTATTTCTTTATTTTTGTCCAGAGTGGTCAAGAAAATGGAGGAGCTGGAACTTGAACTGAGGCAGCTGAAGCCCCACCATGTTGTACTTCTTTGTGTTGAGGTGATTAGTTACCACGGGTAGTTGCACTGCGTGGAGTCAGTGTTGGAGCCATGAGTGCCCTCTCTCCTGGAAGCAGGCTTGGGTCCTTGGCTCTTTCTGGGCCTACACCTTGCATGTGTTCTGGGTGATGACAGGTGTCTGGCCCAGACCAGGCATCCAGGTGGTCACCAGGAGCAGGGCTAAGTGAACCCAAGGGGAGATTAAACCTAGGTGTGCTTTAGGGCACCTACAAAGCAGGGGAGCCCAAAAAGGGGGACCAGTTCCTCCTAGCAGGGCCTGATCCTTTTTTTTTTTTTTCCATCATTTTTTATTGTAAGAAAATACACAGTTTGAAAGTGTGAATAATGCAATATTTATGACCAAGATATGGGACTTAGGGACGGGAAGGGAAATAAAGAAAAAGATCAAGATGATCTGATTGAGAGACAGTGTTGAACTCCAAATACTGAAATGGAAAAGGAGTGAGGTGGGGGGAGGAACAGGAGGAGGAAGTAAAAAAATTTGATCAGAGAAAAAGTTAAAATACAATATGAAAATAAGTAATACCTCTCCTTAAATTCCTTCTATACACAAAATACGTGATTTGCCAAAGTCTAATTTATGCTACTGGGGTTCTGTGAGCTCCTTTAGTGTATTCACATCCTCTGCAACAGGAGAAAATGATTATGATACAATCAGAATATGCTGAAGACAAGTTAAACTCTTGCCAGCAGGTTCTTAAAAATCACAAGATCTCTTCACCCCACCTATCCCCCCAATCCCCAAAAAAGTAATAATATGTCACCACTGATATGTACATCACAATTAGTTTCTGTAAAATGTATCAAATTCTCAATCTTTAATAAAACTTTGTTTTTTTTTATTTTTTTTATTCCTGATGAATAAATACCAAAAAAATAAAATAAAATAAAATAATGCAGCAGCTAGTTAAGGTGTAAGGCTGCGGATATTGTGTCTCTCTCCCCCTTGGCATTTATTATTTATTTACTTATTTATTTTTTTGCTTTACTTTCACAGATTGGTGGTAATGAGTGATTGCTTAAAGCAATATACATCCACTTTTGTTGTTGTTGTTGGTTTATTGGTTTTGTTAAAATTGTCTCCAAAAGCTTTCACTGAAACATTTTGAATCACATCAATACTGTGACGTGTACTATGAGTGAGTAGAAGAGATGGCCAGGTTCTGGCCAGCACTGAAAGTTGACACGGGGGGAGGAAGGGGGCCCCTGATGGAGTAAGAGTAAACAGGCACTAGTCGGACACGATGTCAGTAAGAGTGAGAGAGAGAGAGCGTGAGAGCAACGCCTGTTAAAATGGGGAATGTGGTTTTGCAGGGTCTGAATTTCTTTTGTTTTTCTTTTTTTTGTAAATGGCAAAAAATTTAATCTCATCTATAGTCCTCCTTAGGAAAATCTAATGTAACCAAATTCCCAAATCCCATTCTGAGGCTCTGCACATCAAAAGTTTCAATCTCTCGCTCTTGCCTTTCCAGTAGGTACTTTATTCTCTCGCTGCGTTCCTTCTGAAGGGCAGCCAGCTCTTCAATCTTCTGCACAAGATGTGCTCTGTGCAGAGACACCCTCTGCTCTACCTTCTGGAGCTCGCGTTCATGCTGTGCCTCTGTTTGCATCTTGATTTTGCTCTGGTAGGCGTTGAGTAGCTCCATTTCCTGCTGGAGCTGTAGCCTCAAGGTCTGGCATTCTGCTTCTTGAGCCTCATCTAGCCGTAACGCTTGAGAGGCCATCATTTCATTTATACTCTGTTCATACTGCTCTGCCAAAATGGCAAGTTTTCTTGTCTGCTCATCTTTCAGTGTCTTTAAGATTGTTTTGTGCTCATTCTTTGGAGTAACTTTCAACTGTTGATTCTTGAGTGCTTTATACTGTTTGGTCTGTACTTTGCGAGTGTCTTGAAACTGTTTTTTAATTTGCATTTCCATGACCTTTAAGTTTTTTGGCTGTTGCCGGAGTTCCATGACATGCTTCCTGTGCAGTTCCCTTTCTCGCTTCTTGTTGTACTCCATCCAACTGGTTTTCCAGTTCGGTCTGGTGCTGTAGATGGATCAGGTCCATGCGAAGCTTCTGTAACGTGTGCAGCTGCCTGTACTCTAGCTCTCGGGTGGACTTGTCGTGCCGGATTAGCATGGCATGCTCCATCTCCTTCTGGGTCCTCTTTTTATTTAGTTCTTCCCGAATGTTCTGCTGCTCCACCTCGTGCCGCTTGATCATTATTTTCCGCTTGAAGAAATGACAGTTTTTGTCACAGTACAGTCTCTGTTGACTGAGAAGGTGGGCTTCCTCTTCAGCCTGTGTGTGCTGCAAGTTCTCTTTATGCTTGGATATCCTCTCTTGCTTTTCTTTCTTGGGTGTGCTATGGTCCTCATTCATTTCCTCTTTTATTTTTTCCTTACAAATTTTTTACTGCTTCTTCTGACTTTCTAAGAAAGTTGTCAAGTCTTTCTTCTGCTGGGCCAAGATCTGTTGCTGGAACTTCTCATCTGCTGCAGCTACCTTTGCCTCTTTTTCTACGATAGCCACTTGCTTCTTGGCCAGCTTCTCCAGCTCGATGGATGAGTTGTTGGCATGCGTCTCCACCTCCTTCTGTAGCTTGAGGCGGTGCTCGTCCGTCTCAGCCTTCAGCTTGTTCTCCAGGGCGATCAGCTGCTTCTGGTGCTGGTGCCGCATCCGCTTATAACCTGACAGCTGTTCCCGCAACTCGTTCTCCTGCTCATGCTAATGGATCTGCCGTGTAACCAAAGATGCTGATTTGATTGTGGCAAAGCGCTCTCTGTTCCGGTAGTGGAGGGCCCAGCTCTGAATTGACAGGGTAGGCAGCGGCTCAAACCTGGGATCACCGTGGCCCGCCTCATCCCTTATGAATACATGATCCTTCCTGTGCACAGTGGAGGAACTGGAATTTATTGTGCTTTCATCCTCCTGCATCATGACAAGCTCAGAGCTGCTCTCATCCATGACCTCCTGCATGCTGTTCACACTGCTGCTCTGGCTACTTGTGCTCACAGACATGCTTGGGATGGAATGGTTGCTACCCAGGCTGTCCATTTCCCTGCTCAAGCTGGTTCCATGTTCGCTGTTTTCTTTATCTTCTTGTGATTCATTCAAGGGTCCATTTCTTGTCTCTTGGAAAAGAATTTTTTTCATTTTTCGGTACTGCAGGTTATCTAGCTCACGAACAGCATCTTTTGTCCTCTGTATAAGGTCAATCAGGACACGCAGTGGTCGATCTCGTCGAACAAAGTCATGCTTTTGAGACCGAGGCAGCTCAGCTTCTTGTGTCCCTTGTCTCTTCAGCTTCTGCTTCCTGTGGCCTCTCAGCCCTCGGGCCTCATGCCCGCATCTGCCCTGCTGGGGCAAGTGTTCCAAAGCTCTGTAGCTCCACCGGTATAAGTGCCTGGAGGCACCCCACTCTGCCAGGAAGCCTCGAGCACACAGGCACTCAGCTCTCTCGCTCCGTGGGTCGGCTCCATCGCCATCTTGCACTGGTCTCCTGGTTCTGCTGCTGTTGGTTATCTGCCGCTGCCGCTTCTCTGCTGCTGTAGGTTCTCTGCTGCTGCTGGTCCTCTGTCACTGCTGTATGTCTATCCATTCACAGTTTTAAAACCGCTTCCTTATTTTAGGTATCTGTTAGAGCAGCACCCCACTCTCTCGGTACCAAATTCTGTCTTAGTCATCTAGTGCTGCCATAACAGAAATACCACAAGTGGATGGCTTTAACAAAGAGAAATTTATTTCCTCACAGTTAAAGTAGGCTAAAAGTCCAAATTCAGGGCATCAGCTCCAGGGGAAGGCTTTTTCTGTCTGTCGGCCTTCTTCTCTTCAGTGTTCCCCCAGACTAGGAGCTTCTAGGCGCAGGGACGCCCATCCTAAGGACGCGCTCTGCTCCTGGCACTGCTTTCTTGATGGTATGAGGTCCCCCCGATTCATTTTTTATGGGGCCTACTGCAAAATGAAAGGAGCCCTGTGGCGCAATTGTTAAGTGCTCGCCTGCTAACCGTAAAGGTTGGCAGTTCGAACCCACCCAGTGGCTCCTGGGAGAAAAGACCTGTTGATCTGCTCCCATGTAAAGATCACAACCTAGGAAACCATATGAGGCAGTTCTACTCTGTCCTATAGGGTCACTGTGAGTCGGAATCCACTGGATGGGCACACAACAACAACAGTGCAAAATGAAAATGTGGGGCCCCTTGGTCAAAAAGAAGGAAACAGTGCCAGTAGAGATACAAAAATATAGAATGTTTTCCTTTCTTCTGTGGTTCTTCTGGACCTGTCATGGTACTTTTTATTTGCTATTTAATGTCATGCTCCCTCAGGCATGGGGATGATCGCCTGGGAACGCAGACCCTCGTAGGCACCTGGGTCCTGCTTTGGGACTTGATGCACATGTGGCCCACCAGCCGCCTGGTTTCTGCTCTCCCAGCCTCCAGACCAATGCATGGGACCTGGTCAGGGTAGGGAAGTCAATCTCCCCAACCCACGGTGGATGGGCGACCCACAAGTTTGGACCCTCCATGGCAAGACTTGCTTGGTATCCGGATCAGGGTGAGTGAGAGGCTCACCCCACCAGATTGCCTACCTGACCTGCTGTGGAGCTGCCATCCTGGCTCGGGGACAAACACTGCCATGCCCCAGCCGGAGACACCTCAGGCATGTGGGCAAGACTCCAACCCTCCCCTCGCCTGCACCCAAGCCTGCCAGGTGTCGAGGAAGTGGGACAGGGAAGTGGGTGGCTGAGAACCTGTCCAGGGGCTGCAGGGAGGTGGTGGGAGGTGGGATCGTGTGTCAACTGAGAACCCAAGCACCTGGCACATGCTCCGTTGTCCCATCAGACTTCACTTGCAAGGCACATCTTCAAAGTAAAAATGATTAAGAATTTTAAGATGGTGACTGCAGACCATTAAACCCCAAGCATGGGCCCTTCTGAGCGCAGGCCCTGGGCTACTGCACTGGCGAGTGCCCACGAAGCTAGCTCTGTCTCCCAGTTTTCCCAGGACGCTTCTGGTTTTAGCACAAAAAGTCCTGTGACTGGAGAATGCCCTCAGTCCCTAGCAAACTGGGATGGTGGCTCATCTGAGACCCAAAACAATATTGCAGCCTAAGTTCCCTTTCATCAACCTTAGCCAGTGTTTGGCAGCCTAGAAAGAAGTTATTTTAATTTTGGCCTGTGTTATAGATTGAATTGTGTCTCCTGAAAACGTGTTGTAAATCCTAACCCCTATACCTGTGGTTGGAGCCCTGGTGGCACAGTGGTTAAGAACTATGGATGCTCACCAAAAGGTTGGCAGTTCAAATCCACCAGCTGCTCTTTTGAAACCCTATTGGGGCAGTTCTACTCTGTCATGTAGGGTTGCTGTGAATCAGAATTGAGTTGATGGCAGTGGGTTTGGTTTTGGTTTTTTGATACCTGTGGTTAAACTCCCATTTGGGAATGGGTCTTCTTTGTTATGTTTAGGAGATAGTATTAGTGTAGGGAGTGTCTTAAATCAATCTCTCTTGAGATATAAAAGAGATTAAACGAGAGAGAAGCAGAGATGAGGGAAGAGATACCAACACACATGAAAATCACCTAGGAGCAGAAGCTTAGAAGAGGGAAGGACATTCCTCTAGAGCCTGCGGAGACAGAAAGCCTTTCCCTAGAGCCGGTACCCTGAATTCGGACTTGTAGCCTCCTAAACTGTGAGAAAATAAATTTCTGTTTGTTAAAGCCACCCACCTGTGATATTTCTGTTATAGCAGCACTAGATAACTAAGACAGCACACATGTGACATTTCAAAAAATACAAGTTTATTCTAACTTTTATTCACACACAGGCACACACATCTGAGTAGGGAAGGGGCTTAATCTTTTCAGGTCTTAGGATTGCTGAGGTTCTTCAGCTCTGTCCCCAGAGTAGCTCTTCTTTGCTGGGACACTGCCCTCCAGAGGTGGCTGGATTCTGAGGAGGGAATGAATCCCCTTGCAACCAACTCTGCAGGAGCGGACGCTGTCCCACACAGCCCTGAATCACCTTTGTGGGCCACAAGCTGTTGTACTAATGAGAAGGTGCCTGGGCAGAATCGAGCCCTCCTGGCAGGCGCCCGGTGGGGTGGAGTCGGTGCTGGCTTAGATGCAGCAGACTTGATTCCTCTCCCAGGACCCGAACTTGTAACGATTGGCAAGCCACGTCATTTCTCTGAGCCTCATCTTCCTCCTCTGTAAGTGGGAACATCCTGCCTCATAGAAAGTTATGTTGTTGTTGTTAGCCGCCATCAAGTTGATTCTAACTCATGACGACCCCATCTGCGCACAGTAGACCTGCTCTGTAGAGTTTTCAATGCTATGAAGCAGATCGCTAGGCCTGTCTTCCAAAGTGCCTCTGAGTGAGTTTGAACTGCCAACCTTTTGGCAAGTAGTCTAGCACTTAACTGTTTGTGCCACCCAAGGACTCCTATAGAGGGTTATGGGGAGGATTAAATGGAGTTGTATGACTGAAGCACCAGCACAGAGCTGGGCATGCAAAAAAAAAAAAAAAAAAACCCGTTAATGTCGAGTCGATTCCGGCTCATAGCAGCCCTATAGGAGAGAGTAGAACTGCTCCACAGCGTTTCCAAGGAGCGGCTGGTGGATTTGAACTGCTGACATTTTGGTTAGAATCTGAGCTTTTTAACCACTATGCCACCAGGGCTTCATATATATAGGGAGAGAGAGAGAAATAAATTTACTTGAAGAAAATGGCTCACACAATTGTGGGGACTAGAAAGTCCCAAATCCATGGGTCTGGCAGCAGGCTGAAGATCTCTGCTGGCTCATATGGTTGGAGGGGGTGACAAACCACAAATCTGCAAGTCAGGTGGCAGGCTGGAGGCCTCTGCTGGCTCACAGGGATGCCAGGTTTGACAAAAATCTGTAGGATCCAAAATCTGCAGGTCAGGTGGCAGGCCAGAGACTTCTGCTGGTTTATGTCCCAAGAAGCAGAGGTCAGGTGACAAGAAGAATGCAGGACGGAGGAAAAAAGCAAGCTTTGCCAGAACATCCATTTATATACTGGAGGCAGGCCACACCCTCAAGGAAACTCCACTTTCAACTGATTGGCTGCTCACATCAGATCACAAAATGAAAGGTGATTACATAGTTTCTGCCAAACCACTGAGAATCATAACCTAGCCAAGCTGACACATTAACATTAACCATCACACCACTCAACTGTTTTCCACAGTGCTTACACAATTTTACAATCCCACTTGCAATAGATGAGGGTTCCATTTTTTCTATATCCTCACTAACACTTTTTATTCCTTGTTTTTCTGATAATAACCATCCTAGTAGGGGTGAGTGGTATTGTGGTTTTGACTCCTGAGCTTTTGAACAGTTTTCTCCTTCTACATGGAATGCCTTTGTATTTCTTCATTAAGCCCATTCATCCTTCAAAACTCAGCTCAAATGTCTTCTCCTCTGTGAAGCCTCCCTGGATTCCTGGGGACACAGCCAGTACCTTTGCGTTTTCAGAGCAACCCAATGCACCCCTCACAGCACTTACCCTTGGACTGTTTTTTTTTTTAAGATATAATTCATATACCATAAAATTTACCCTTTTAAAGTGTAAAATTAAATGGTTTTTAGCATATTCACAAGGTTGTGCAAGCATCACCACTATCTAATTCCAGAAAATTTCATAACCACCCAAAAAAGCCCAGACCCATTAGCAGTTACTCCCCAATTCCTTACCCACCCCCCCAACTCCTTGCAACCACTAATCTACTTTCTTGTAGACATTACATGTGAATGGAATCATATGATACGTGGTCTTGTGTGCCTGGCTTGAGCCCTGGTGGCACAGTGGTTAAGAGCTTGGCTGCTAACCAAAAGGTCGGCAGTTCTAATCCACCAGCTGCTGCTTGGAAACCCTATGGGACAGTTCTACTCTGAACAAGCCCATGAAAAGATGCTCAATGTCTTTAGCTATCAGAGACATGTAAATCAAAACCACTTAATTGTACTAAAGTATGCAGGCACCCCAGGGGAGGTAGTTTGCCTGGTGATTTTTAACCTGCTGTAGCATTAATCAGAAATAGTAGGCTTACAGAATTAATCTTGTACCTAGAAGAGGAGGAAGAGATCTTTCTGGTCATGCACCCATGGTTACAGGACTGTCATGCTGTTTGAGTTTAAACCAAGACACACAGAATTGTCAGACCAGGTGCAGCTGAACACAGGCCCCTTCCTCTTATCCCCTCTCCCTTTTCCCATGCACTCTTGAGGTATAAAAGTCCTAGATTCCTTTATCCCGTCATCTTTCGCCTGCAACGTATCTTGGGGCCTTAAGCGTGCAGAAGAGATTTCCTGTGTCAACTCACCCTGGGACAGGAGTCTGAGGGGAACCCATCCTATAATGAATCTTACTCGATTCATCTGTGTCCTAACCACTATGTAAGCAAATGAAAGCTTGTGATCTCATCACTGGGTAATGCCAATTAATTAATTACAGCCCTCTACAAGCCCATTTTTTACCTCGTCTCACCACAGTAGTATTTTTTTTAATTGTACTTTATTTTTTTATTTTATTTTATTTTTTTTTAATATTTTATTGTACTTCAGGTGAAGGCTTACA